AGGATGCAGAGGATAAAACAATAAAACAAGAAAGTGTCACACAGCTAGAACACATGAGTTTCTATTGAGGAGCCATATAGACTGTGGCTTATGTTAATGATTAAGAAAAACAACCGAGTCCCAGTAGCCCAGTTAGTTTAAATTCCTTTAATCTTAAGTTGGGAGATGTGTTCACAGGTTTCCCAGTGCATCATCGCTGAAACAAAGCTTTGAAAATAAAGTTAGACTGAGTTGTTTTTGCTAATAGCTTTAAGATGAAAAACCCCAAAAGACAAATCTGAAGTTTTAGAAAGGCACATAGTTGAGTGAGGAACTCTTTAAGGTCAGGGAACAAGAACAAAGCAGCCCGATTATTGTTAGCTGGTGTGCCTTTCTTTCTTGGACGGTTTGGTGACCAAAGGCAGTGTTTAAATCCTTGTCCCCATTTCTGCCCTCTGCTTCCTGTTATAAAGAACTGTTGATGAATATGTGTGCACACTGAGGATTTAAAATAGAGCTGACCAGTTCTTTTTCATATATAAAAGTTTAGATTCGTGATTCTTCTAACATTATCTTTTGAGATAAATAGTAAAATGGTTGGCCCTTTCTTTGTAACTATAGTAAGCAGTCTGCTAGTAGAAGAACTGGCTTGAAAAATACTTTTGCTTACACTCTCTTAATCTACAACAAGTTGCTTGGATAATATATGTGGGTTCTTGGAACAACTTGTTTTTCACCTGTAATAAGTAAACTGTTTAACCATGTAGGGGAAATGAAAACATTTTTTAAAAGCCTGTATTCATTGTAATCATCCACTTGAAAAATAGAATGTAGCCACATTGTGATTTTCATATTGCTTGAAAGATTTTGGTGGAGTATATAAGCTGTAAGATTAAAAAAAAAGTAAGTTAGAAGAAAAACATCAAGAATGAGAGAAGGAAAACACCAGGAAAGATGTAGAGGAAGAATACAGAAGAATAAAGAAAGAGTCAGAAGAAAACTATCAAGAGAGTGTGTTGTCTTTTCCTTACTCCCTCAGATAAAAAAGCCTTAGTATGAGGACTCTATGGCTTCCCTTCAAGCTCTGAGCTGCTGGAGGCTGGTCCTCATGGCAGCAGTATGTGCCTTCCCACCTCAAAATCTGGATCAAAGGCAGGTTGTCTTCCTGCCTCAAGATCCAGATCACAGGTGTGACCTCTGTTTCTGGATTGTATTTCATTCCAGGTATAGTCAAGTTGACAACCAAGGACAGCCATCACATGTGAGTTTCTGAGGATCCAAACTCCAATCTTCATTTTTCTATGCAGCAAACATTTGAAGCAGTGGTTCTCAATTTTCCCAATGCTCAGGCCTTTTAATACAGTTCCTATGTTGTGGTGATCTCCACCCACTAGATTAGTTTCACTGCTACTTCATAACTATAATTTTGCTACTGTTGTGAAGCACACTATAAATATCTGTTTTCTCTGATGGTCTTGGGGGACTCCAGGTTGAGAAACCCTGCTTTAACCACGGAGGCATTTTCGCAGCCCCTCAACTGTTCTTCCAACATGAACCATGCATGTCAGTGGCAGCTATGTAAACTTTCTTAGATGGAAGATCAACTTGGAATCCTTTATCTCAGAGTTAAGGAAATGACGGAAGAGAAGGCAACCTTACATTGAGAGAGTCACGGATGTAAGGAAAAGGTGCAGCTCATCCTTTGACCTCCACATGTGTGTTGTGCCTTTGTGTAAAGACTTAGGAGTTTGGTTCAGGATATGTGGAAATATGCAGTGCTGAAGTGAAGACACACATTTCTATAAACTTTCTCTTTTAGGTTATCTATGTCATCAGGAATCCAAGAGATGTTGTTATATCTTCCTATCATATAATTAATGATTTTAACCTTTTGAACAATCAAGAGACTTTTGATGAATATCTTCATGCATTTATCCAAGGTGACGGTGAGTGGAATCTGGACCACCAATTTTATATTTTGAAATCAAGGCAAGACCAGAGATCTGTGTTACATGTTTAAAAGCTAAATCTATGGGTCACAGCTGTTTAAAATTTACTCAGTGTGGGACAAGAAGGATGGTTTAGTTGTGTACTACTCTTGCAGATGTCCAAGTTTGGTTCCCAGCAATCATGCCAGCTTTCCCTCAAGGTCTGTTAACTCCATATCGAGGGGTCTAGCGCTCTCTTCTGGCATCCCCAGACACTGCATTTATGTATGCAATACCCACACACAGATACACATATACATGAAACTTAAAATATTAAAAACCAATGTTTTAAAATTTTACTCAGTGTGATGTCAAGAATTTTATGGACAACCAGATGCAATCTGATTTTCACTTAATGTATTTTTTCACTTAGACAAATCAATTCTTGTATGATATATAGTTATGAATGATCATCTATCCTTTATTTTTAAATTTTTCAATTGCATGTTTTCAGATACTATATTCATTAACTGTGTGTGTGTGTGTGTGTGTGTGTGTGTGTGTGTGTGTGTGTGTGTGTGTGTGTATGGGGTTTCACACATGCTGTTGTGCATGTGTGGATGTCTGAGGACAACTTGTGGGAGTCAGTTCTCTCCTTCAGCCATGTGGATTTCAGGGATAAAGCTCATATCATCAGGCTGTGGGTCAAGTGCCTTTACCCACTAAGTCATTTCATCAGTTCTTGGTATTTTACTCACAATGAAGTATTATTTAATAAATCTATGATTGCTTCATAAAATAGTTTTTGCATGTATTGGAATTTATCCTGCTCTTTTTATACACTTTTCTAATTAGAGGTTCAAAGAGGCAGGGTTGGAGATGTGGTTCAGTGGTTATGTACTCTTTCTGCTGTTTCAGAGGACCCAGATTCAGTTCTGCACCCATATGATGGCTTAAAACCATCTGTAATTCTGCTTCTAAGTTATACTATGCCCTCTTCTGGTCTCTGCGAACACTGCACCCATGTGATGCACATACATACATATCAGCAAACATTCATACACATTAAATAAGGTTTAAAACT